AATATTTTAAATATCTTTCATGTTCCAAATGTACAAGGATGTTCATTCTTGAATGAAAAACTCAATCCAGATCATTTCTCAAAATTAGAATCCAAGGATAGTGCCAGATAAACACATATTGGTACAGTGAATTATTTCCTTCCAAAAGCAGGCATGACTTCTTGGGGGAGCAAGAGAAAGAGGATGTGGGGAATTTTATGAGTCCCCCTTCTGAACTGGCTGGAATGATTGGCTTTGAGGAGGCAGGGTAAGGTGCAGGGGCTGTGTTGGAGAGGACAAATCTAAGAATGGCAGGTGGAGTCCTAGATGGGGCTGACCCTGCTCAGACTTTCCTGCAGGTGCCTGGCACGATTTGGGGAAGGAGATTTCATCCTCTTGGCCTATTTGGGAAGTCATCCTGCCAGCTAATTTTACAGAGCTCTTAAGCCAGCTGTTGCCAGCCTTACAGGGATGATTCCCCTCTGAGATTGTTTTTCTACTGCCTGGGATAACTGGCAGTTTGATGGGGACTTTGGAACCCCTTGTAGTGTCTGGGAGCTTGTGGAGCCATATCAGTGCCTGCCTTGCTTAGCTCATCCTAGAGCAAAGAGCCGGCTCCCTGATTTCCCCAGGGTGACTGGGTGAGGACGCATGGGGCCAATACCCAAACCCCTTCAGCTACCAGTCCCATTAGCCATCTCTTGTGCTCTTTTCCCAGATACACAGCCTATAAGGAATGGCAAGGAGTGCTGGTTAGGCACTGATCTGGACTTGGCAACAGAAATTATTTCATGTTGCCGTTGTCTGAGTCTTTCACTAATGATGTTCTGTGGATTTTTGCGGTGGTGGTGATGGCTATTGATGCTGCTAGTTTCCCCAAAAGTAATGGAGTGTCTGGTCATATGGCTGTCCATGTAGGCATTCCTGCTGTGCTTAGCCAAGTGGCTTGGGGAGGATTGGGCTGTGGAAGGGTCTACAACCCACACCCAGGCTTGTATATAACATTTGCTCTGGGAGAAAGTAAATGGGTGGATAGCGTGATGTGTGGTGTGGTGTTGGGGGTTTCCTTGCTGCTGTCACTTCTCAGCTACTCGTCGTGGAAAGAAGCTTTAGCCGGGATGCAGGCTCAGCCTAGTCACACTCACTGGAGGCATGGTCTGCAGGCCAATGGAGCTGGGTTTCAGGCTGCAGATTGTGGTGAGGTTTGTCAGAGGCTACTTCTGCAGAGTCCCCAAAGCTGGAGGAACTTGTGTGTTTGGAATGGGGGCCACGCCACCTTCCTGAATGCTGCTGGAGTCGCAGCTGCACTGTACCAGGTTGTCACCAGAGGCCTCTAGGGGCCACCTAAAGCTTCCTGTTGTCCCTGTGCTGCAAACTGCAGGCACCAGCAGTCATGGCTGACCTTTGACTCCTCCAAGACACCCAGACCAAAGAAGCTGCTGTTCTTAGCAAGATGTGCACTGTTTTCCACAGACCGGAGGAGTCAGAGAGGCGGGGGCTTGCCTTTACAGCCTGATGGACATCACACAGATACATGGCGCCCCAAGTCCCAGAGCAGCTCCCAGTGTGGGCTTCTAAGGATATCAAAGGACAGAGTACCACTCTTTCCTACCTTGCACAGGACCTGGAACTGGAAAGGCTCCCTGTCATAGGTATGGTCAGCCCTGGGCCAGGTCCCAGCCTGAGCTGCCTCTGAAATTTGGGGTGCACAACAGCCCCTGGAGTGAGCTTTGCCTTGGTTGACCCAGGTCTTGGAATGGGAACTGTGAGGCCTGTGGTTGCTCTAGTAGAACCAGATTTCCTGGAAAGGCCCTGTGTCTCCCTCTAAAACCATGTGGCCAGCACCTTGGACTCTGCTGTTGTCTCATGGTGTGGATCTGCCCTACCCTGAGCACCGCCACCCCCATCTGCCTGAGTGGGCTCAGCAGCTGCCGTTAGTCTCCTTGTGGTCCAAACAGTCCCTGGTGTCTTCACTCAGCCCTTCCAGGACTTAAGTCAGAACACTCAGAGAGAAGCCTTGTTTGGGGTTCGGGGCCTCTGCACAAGGAGCTTGGCAAGATGGTGGAACCAGACAAGGAGAGGACCCTGGGGCTTCCGAGCATACCACCTGGGACCTGCCTTGGGCAGCTGCTTTTGGAGGGCCTCCCAGGCCTCACCTTCTGCCACCGGTTTTTGTTGGCATTACTGGGCTATGGACTCCCATGTTTCCAGATACTCACCTCCTCCCACTGTACTGACTCTGCATTTGACCCTCGACATGTGGCACATTCCCATGGCCTCCATTCTCGTGTAGGGAAAGAGCCGGGTAGAAAGGAGGCCTCAGCTCTGGGTTGAGGTGTACATAGGGCTTACTTCCCACCCCCTATGTACCTACTTCGGAAGATGCTGACATCTTGTTTGAAGCCAGCCCACACTAAGCCACTTCTACACCAAGGTTTATGGAAAATTTCAGGCTTTGCCTGCAACTCCCTTCTACCTGCCACTGTCCCCCATTATTTGCTGGCTCACTGAAGCTCAGGATGGGTGTCTCTGTAGTCTTGAATTCTTTGTCCAAAGATGACCAGCATTTTACCAACCAAAGGATTGGCCCAAAAGGCCTGGCTGGATAGCTTCTTAGAGCTGCAGTCCAGAAGAAGGTGAGAGACTGGTCATCAGGCCAGGGAGGGGACAGGGCGGGACCATATCTCTGGCCAGGGCCTCCCCACCCAAGGGCAGCCTTTGTGTGGCCTGACCCTACTCACCACCCCATCTTCCCAGAACCGGAGACCCAAGGCTTCATTTTCACCCTACTGCCAAGTGTAGGCAGGCCTGCAAATAGACTGTCCCTAGGGAGTCTGTGTGGGACAGCTTCATTCAAGTAAATTCAAAAATACTGGCTGCAGGCAAAGTGCCACATCTGAGACAGGGAAGGGGGGAAGCTTCACCTTTTTGTCTGGCTTTTCTCTGGGCTGTGGGAGGGGCATCCGTTTCCAGGGTGGGGGAAGAAATACCAAATGCATTGTTCTACTTGATACATCTCACTTCTAATAAAGGAAGCAGCTGAACAAAACTTTTCTGCCCTCCTTGTTTTCCTCTGGTCAGCAGGTGGCAGCCAACAGAGGGAGCCCCCTGCCTGGGCTAGAGCGCCCTCTCCCTGCGGGTGACAGGGTCCCACAGGAAAGGCCACTTGAATACCTTCCTTTGTAAGGCTGCCCTTTTGGGGCAAACTTGTGTTTTTTCCCCTAGCCTCCCCAGCCTGCCATCAAGGAGCCAGTGCCCACCCACGTTCACTCCATGTAAGAGGAGCGGCTGGGCTGTGAGCTGTCACCGGGTCCCCCGCAGCAGAGCCAGTCCCAGGCATCCCTGAAGCAGAGCAGCTCTCTGGGCCAGCAGTGGCCCCTCTGATGCAGGGCATAGGCACCGCCCCTCCCCACAAGTCCAGTACCCCATCTGCCCCTCTGAGCCAGAGCCTGGTGGTTCCGCTGAGCCAGCAGGGTGCTTTTAACACTAAGTTTCCAGGCCCCACTGCACATCTACTGAACCAGTCTCTGAGAAAGGGCCTGAGTGACTACATTCAGATATCCCATGTCCCCATTCTCTTCCTCGGAACTTTTCGTCCATTCTCTGATCCCATGCTCCTTTTAGGCCCTCCGTAGCTGATGCCTCTGAGCCCCTTTGCTGAGAACCTGAGCCCTGAACTGCAGCCTGAGAAGACACTGGAATCATTTGTGAGGCCTTTCCTAGAGTACTTGACACCCCACCCTGCAAAACCCACACTTTGTGTCTCTCCCCACTCCCAGCACCCCTGCCTCCCACCCCAGCTCACCGTAGCTCCTGAATGAAGATTGCCTTCATTCCCACCCTTAGATTTAGGCTGAGAACAGCCCTGTGGGTGGTCCCCACCCAGGGACCTCCAGAGTTACAAGCTGTGGCGTCTTCACATCCACTTCCCATATTCAGTGCCTATCAGCTTCCCTGTGTTAAAGACTTGCCTTTTCAAGGCCATCTTCTCAGCTTTGGGGCTCTTACCCTAGCAGCAGCAACCCTTTTCCTGTTACACCAAGCCAAAGAAGCAAAGCAGGATCATGGATCTCTGCCCCGGGTCCAGAGCTCACCTGACATAGGACCCCCAGCCCAGGCCCTGACCGGAGCTGGCCCTGCAGGGACTAGACTCTATTGCTCTTTGTATATTAAGACTGGACTCGGCCTCGCTGCACCTCTCAGCCCAGGGCTGCAGTTTACGTGGCCCTCCTCACAGCCCCAGGCACCGGGTGCCTGGATTGCATCAAGTCATGGGATATAGCAGGAACGTGGGGACAGCACAGCCTGGAATCTTGGGTGGCAGATCGAAGCCCAAGCCCAGCCCTCCTCTCGGGCCACCCTCTGGGAACTGCCATCAAGCTCTGTCCTTATTCGGTGCTGGTGCTGTTGACTGATGGAACGCAAAATACCAGGGCTCTGCTTTTAACCCCAGAAAGTCAACTTTCTTACAGGTGTTTTCTGGATTCTGTCATCTGTGTCTTGGCACGCTCTCCCAGCGTCTCGAGGAAGCCCGGAGCAACCTGCTGCTTTCCAGACCTTTGTTTAAAAGGTTGGTGGTTGGTGGAAGGCGGGCCCCAGGTCTCTGGGATTTGTCTGCTGAGCAGACAGGGGCCTCAAACCCAGCTGAGCCCAGGAAGTGGGGGTCTGTCTGAGGCCCCTCAGAGTCCTGTCCCCATCCCCTTTAGGGCTGTAACAATTCTTCCCTGGCAGAAGCCCACCTACCTGCCCCTCCCCATTCAGGGCACCTCCGTGTGCGTCTGGGGGGCGGGGCACGGGGGTGCAGTGAATTAGTGTCCTCACCATCTTGTGATTCCAGCGGCAGCTTTAAGCCAAGAGGCAGGGGTGGAGCTATTTAGAGCCGCGGCATTTCCCCCAGCATCCTCTGGCTGTCCTAGGCAGATTCAAGCCCTGCTGGGGGAAGACGCCCAAGGAGCTTTGCCCCCCAGCCCTCCTCATGGGCCTCTGGGTGTGCCTCAGAAGTGCTCAGAGAATGGCACTGGTAAAATAAACTTGCTTTTTTATTTTTTAAAGTAGACTTGTTTTATCGTCCTCTCGAGGGTTCTTCTATGACACAAGTTAAAAACTTATACCTAGTTTCCCCCAGGACTCTGGGCCTCAGCCCTGGTCCAAAAGCTGGAAGGGGGACCCCAGGAAAGCCTGGGGGAAAGGAGGGCCTAATGCCTGGTGGTGGACAAAGGGGGCGCTGGACTCTTCTGGAGGAAGGAGTCTGGGATGACCTCATTGTGGGGCAGAGGGGATGAGGGCTCATATGTCCTGCTCCCTAAGTCTCTTGGCAGCAACAGCCCTGGCTCTTCATAAGCCATCATGGGCAGGGGGTGGGCAGCAAAGCCCCGAGCAGCTGAGCCATCTCAGCAGCCCAGGGTTGCAGGGAAAGGATCAACTGCTTGTCTGGAGGGGCCGAGGCAGCCCAGCACCAGTGGAGACCAGAGTCTGGCAAGCAGGCAAAGTGAGCAAGCTGGAGGGGCTGGTACTCCCCACAGTGCTCCCCTCCAGAGGAGGAGAGGGCCTCTGCTACAGGGTGCAGACTGGCACCTGCAGAACTCCAGGCAGCGTCATTCGGCCTTCAGGAGTACTGGACACGAATGTGGACAAAAAGCGTGGCTGGTGACAGTGAGGCCCCATCCTTGGAAAGCAGGTGGATATGGCGGTACCCTGTAGGGAGGGTAGCCAGGCATCAGGTTCTCTGCCCCCAACCCTATAGGGGCAGGCCCTGGGAGCACAGCCCACCCCTCAGGGCTGGGCTCCAGCTCAGGCCTGGCTCAGGGCAGGCTCTCAGAGGAAATTCATGGCCCAGGTGCAGAGGGTCTTGGAGGCTTGGACCCCAACACCTTTCCATCCCCACCAACCCCCGCCGACCTTGCTTCAGGCTGTGGAGAGGTAGCGTGAACTGGCCCACAAAATCATTGGGGGATGTGGTGTCATAATCTTCTACCACAAACCGGACAAGCACCAGCTCAGGAGCCCTCAGCTGGAACTGCAGGGTCTGCCCCCAGCAGGGGTTGAAACCTAGGGCACAGGCACGGCAGTCAAGAGCAGCTGCTCCCTGGCCCACCCCGTGTTCTCTGTTGCTGCCCCCCATGTCCACCAGCAGGGTCCACCCACCATTGTTGAGCACGTAGTTGGTCTCCTTTTGAGCACAGTCTGCAGGCACCCCATGGATCTCGACACGCACCAGGGGGTCCACGATGGAGTTTGGCTTCTCAGCGTTCAGCTTGGGCAACTGCTGTGCAGTGAGCACCTGCACAGGGATGATGGGCAGCTTCTGTCTGGTCCCAGCCAGGACCCAAGCCTGCCATGTCCCTCCTTCAGGGCAGGAAGCCTCTGGTCCTGGGCATTTAGACACTTGGGCTGCCCTCACCCCAAGCTGTCCCCAGACCTCACCCTGACCCAGGGGACAGCTTGGTCCAGGCTGCTAACCTGGATGGTGAGAGTAGTTCTGGGGGGTCCAGGGCACTCAGGGTTAAAGTTTGTGTCAGGCTGCCGCAGGCAGGCAGGTTTCAGGACGTAGCCGCACTGCCCATTGATGAGGAAGCGCCCAGCATTGAGGTCCATCTCGTAGCCTGGCGTCTGGAAGTTCAGGGCCACTGTGGACAGAGCAGGGTCAGGGCAGGGGCTCTTCGTGGCCACCTTCTCGCTGCTCAGCTTCAGGGGCCCCACTGCTCACCTCGATCCACCATGGCTTGGGGGCTGCATCGTGGTAGCCACAGAACCCAGCCCCCACTGTCACTTTATCCCTGGTACCCTCGAGGCCAGAGGGTGGGGCTGGGCATAGGCCTGAGCCAGAGCTGGGGGCTCCCATGCCTATCCCCAAGGGGACGGTATTTCCCTCCTTTGTCAGGGCTCAGCTCACCTCCAGACCCACCCTCAGCGTTGACCCAGTGGGACTCCCAGGGGCATGTGTGTGTATATGTCTGGGGGCACATGTGATGGAGGTTTAAAATTTTTACCTTCATCAAAATGTGAAACTTTTACATTGTCAAGAACAAAATGAACCTGATTTGTGTTTACCCACCTACCTTGCTGACAAATTCTTTTAATAATTGTTACTAAGAAAGCACGTCTTCCTCCATTCTGGGAAGCTGTGCCCCCCCACCCCCCTGCAGCACGCTGCCCACGCCCCATTTCTGCTGCCCCACTCACCCAGCTGACAGCCTGAGTTCCACATCTCCTGGGGGCTGTAGTTGGCCGAGTTCATCCGTAGCCCCAGCGGGTAGACACGGGTCAGATGGCGGGCATTGTGCCTGACGAAGCTGTTCCCTGAGGAGATTGGGGTGTAATGTGGCCGCCCCTGGGGGGCCCCTCACCTGGTGCCAAGGCCTGTAACCTCTACCCTCCCAACCCCAGGGACAAGCTGGACACAGAGGCTGAACCCCTACTCCAGACCCCCTGCCCCAGCTCCTTGATTTCTCTGGCCTAGGGTGAAGGGAGGACCTCACAAAGGAGACTGCTTTAGAGAGGGGCAGGGACCCGTGTCCACAGCCCGGCACAGCACCCCAGCCCCAAGTCCCCACACTCCTGACCCCAGGCCCTCGTCCCTCATCCCGCGTGCACTCCTCCAGCCATGCTGCAGACTCCCAGGACTCTTCCTGCGCGTCACGCCTCCAGGCCTTTGTACACCTGCTCCTCCTGCCTGGAAACACCTCCTCCTTCTTCCACTGGCTGCTTCCTCCTCATCCCTTGCTCAAGTGCCTTTGCAGGCCTCACCTGCTCAGGAAGCCTTCCCTGATCTCGCCCTTCTGCTGGGCATCCCTAGGTCCTGTTCATGGCCCAGGTGATTGCCTTGCATCATAATTCCCTGACTATGTCTGGCTCACCATAGGCTGTGAGCCCCGTGAAGGCAGACAGCAGCCTCCCTCCTCCCTGCACATGTGGTGCAGAGCTGGGCAGGTGCTGGGCACCTGTTCCCTGAGCCCCTCTCTGGGGTCCTCCTATTTTAATGCACTGAAGCCCTCTCAATCTCCTTTCCAGACCGACTTCAGAACACAGGATCCTGCAGGCTTCCACTGCCCTCCTGCCCCCAGATACCCGATGTCCCGACTCCTACCTGCCTCTCGGATGAGCTTCTTAGCCTTGCGCTCACTGAGAGAGCTGACCTGGCAGGGCTGGGGCAGGGCAGGCGGCAGGCGCAGGGTCCGCAGGCGGCTGGCACAGCAGTACACGGCCAGGGCCGACAGCTCCGGGGAGATCTGCTTGGCCTGGGAGACGAGCCCAGTGGAGGTCCAACTTGCTTTCCCTTGCACACTGGCCTGAGTGCCACAGTAGTACCCAGCCCCTTCCCAGCCCAGCCAGGCCCACTCACCCACCGCCTCTGCTGCTCAGCCTCCACCTCCCCTTCCTCCTCCTCTTCCTCCTCTTCCTCCCGGTCAGAAAGCATCCGAGCATCCTTGCTCTGAGCATCTGGTAGCTTCTTCCCTTTCACCAGGATCCGGCCCTTCAACTGCTGTTAAGGCCAATATGGAAGGATTAAGTCCTCCTGCCCCTACGTCAGTGGCTGGCTGGGGGTGGGGAGCAGGAAAGGAGGCACAGAGACAAGTGGTGTTTGTAACAGGAAAACCGGGGAACAGCCTGCAAGGCCATTCGGTGGCTGGTGAACCCCCTCCCGACACCAGAACACTGCACAGCAGCATTCGATCAATGGGGCAGCTTGAGACTGAAAGATCGACATGAAAGAAGTGGGTGTAGAACACACAATCACATGATCTTCCTGGGTGAGATCTCTGAAAGGGAAGATAGCTACGTACAGATAGCTTCATATAAATGCATGGGAAAATTCTGGAAGGACACACAAGAAACTGTTGAAGGCGATTACTTCCTGTGAAATAGGGCAGGAGAATCCATTTTTCATTGTATACACTTTAGCTCGTTTTTTGTTTTTTTTTTACCATTTGTATGTTATTTTCATGCTAATAAAGTCTAATCATACACACACACATGCACACACACGCAGAGGTGGATCGACATTCTCTGCGTATTTGGAGTTGGGAGTAAGGGGAGCCTTACTTTAGGCTTTCAAGGATCCTAAAGAAGATAACTGTCTTGAGGAGGCGATAAAATGTTGTGGGGTTTGGGAGGAAAGAAGGAAGGACCATCTCTGGCCAGAGAGCTGAGGAAGGTTTTAAGTTTATAAGGCCACAGGAAGAGGCCATTTACTTTGAGCTAGAATTCTAACCAATTGGGCTTGGTGAAGACGGTGTCAACCAAGGGAGTGGCAATGACTGAATTTGCAGGGACTCTGAGCAGCAAGGCAGAGTGGGGAGGGCAGGGCCAGGTCTTGGGAGGTTTGAATTTCAGTTGAGAAGGTGGGGTGAGTCTAGTCAAGAATGGAGGGCAGGTGAGTGACAACACCTTGGTGACAGATAACAGATGAAGGTGAAGGCAGAGAGATGTGAGGGGTCCTGACCCAGGAAGGTGGCATGAGCAGATGCGGATGGATGGTGGACCACAGGCAGGCCCTACCTCCGGCCCAGGCTGAGTGTCTGGGGGCATCACCTCTGGGGTCGGCAGCTCTTCAGGGTTCTGGGAGTCCAGCGCCTGTGTCACCAGCATGTCCCCCAGGATGGTGCAAAGGTGGCGGGCCATGGCAGCCTGCTGCTCAAGCCCACAGTGGTTCTCGAGGGACAGGATGACGGGGTATGGGGACAGCTGTGGGGGGTGGGGGGCAACAGCTCAGAGCCACTCACCCCTCCCCCATCCAAGACCCCCGCCCCCCGCTCCACCTGACCCCCAACCCCTTTCAGGACAGGCAGGCGAAGGCAGGGCTCTGGAGAGCCCACTCTGAGGGGATTGGGTAGGTGGGATGCGGGACACATGGTGGGACAAGTGTGTCCAGGGAGGGGCAGAGGTCAGACCTGGGGTCTCAGGGAAAGGGGTGGACTGTCTGGGAGGCTGAGAGCAGCTACAGAGATGTTTTTCTTTTATGAATGTTCTTTACACGTTAATGACATTGACCAGTTGTTTATGTTACAGATGTTTCCCCTGAGTCCACCCTTTGTTGATGGAAGGATATGTGTGGCTTAAAAGAAGTTGAAATTTTATAAAGACGCCATGTTGAGCTTCTTTTTAATGGCTTTATCTTTGGGAGTCATGATTAAAATGTCCTTCCCTACCCTCAAGGTTTTCTTCTGGAAATGTGATTTTAATACATTTACTAAATCTGAAGGTGGGAGAAGGGAGCCTCTCACAAAGCTTCATTCCTCCACTGGCCAATTGTCCCAGCAGCACTTGGCGAAAGAGTGAGTCTTTGGGCAAGATTTCCTTTGGAAGGGCTGAGAATGGCTGGAGTCACCCGGAGGACTCCGGGGCTGGGCATAGGGGTCCTGGGGGCTCACCGTGAAGGCGTGGTCACGTACAACCTGGACCACATCTCGGAAGAGGATCTTAGAGGTGAGGGTGTGGCCATGGTAGATGATGGGCTCCCCTCCTGGCCCCTCCCAGCAGTCAAGCTCCACACAGCGGCATCCCTGCGCAAAGGCCCTGAGGACAGACAGATGGACGGGCATGGTATCATGTGGGTGCCACAGCACAGGGAGACAGATGGGCTAAGCCAGGTAGGTCCAGGAAGTTCACAGTAGGAGCTGAACTCCATATTGCCCCCAAGTTGGACTCTCAGACACGTTCACTCCCACTGTGCCCTGGCTATACCTAACATAGGCCTCGGTGCTGCTGGGTCCCCCAATCTGAGAGTCAGTCAAATAGGTATTGTGGGAGGAGGAGATGAAATAGTGGGAGAGGGGGTGGTCCATGTCCTGGAACACACACGTGTGGGCCGAGTCCAGGGCAGCCCCTTCAGGTGACAACAGGTACATCATAAAGCCATCCAGTGTCATCAGCTCGTGCTGCTTGGCTGCAGGGATGGGCAGAGCAGAGCGTCAGGCCATAAGGAGGATCCCATGTCCAGCCCCAAATGCCCCCAAAGCTCACTCAATAAACACTATCTACCACCTGAACTCTACCTAAGTTAGGCCATTTCATCTCCACCAAACCCTATGAGAAAGGCACATTACTCTGCCATTTTACAGATGTGGCAGCTGAGTCTTGAAGAGGTGAGGTAACCTGCTGAAGATGGCCCACTTGACTGGAACCCCGACCTGTCAGATGCCAAGGTGGGACTGTGTTGACCCCAAGCCCCTCTGTCAGACCCCCCACCTGTCTCATTGAGCTCATAGGTCTGGATGAGCTGCTGGGCGTGGGCCAGCGTGGCGCCATCCTCGCCCTGGTCCTCCAGGAACTCCAGCAGCTCAGGGGCACTCAGCACGCGGTCTTCGCCTGAGTACCAGTGGAAGATGTCCTCCAACTCGGGGCGTTTCAGCAGACGCCGCAGAAACTCTTCAATCTCAGTTCCCTCTAGCCGCTCGTTGTTGGAGTGGTCACACTCCTAGAAAGCAGCAGGGGAAACTCAGAGGAAGGGGCCGCCCTGCGCAAGCTAGCCTGCCCTGACACACCTGCCAGAGCAGGAAGGCAGATTTCACAGGCTGAGAAGTGGAGAGCTAGTGAGGCTCCAGTCCCGTGCAAGCTCACTGCTGGTACGTTGTAGGGCTCGGACTCTCAAGAAGGTCTCTTGGCTTCAGTGCCAGTCCCCTATACCATGACCTACCCCAAGAATGGAGATGTGGGAGGAAAAACAGTGGTCTTGGACAGAACTGAGCCCATGCCATAATTTCCCTTGCCCATGCATACATTACCATCCTCACAGTTCCACATTCATGCCCAGGGGCAGTGTGCAACAAATAACCGAGAATCATGTGGAGCAGTCCAGGGGGAGCTGTCAGCCCAGGTGTACAGGTGCCATGGCTCTCTTCAGTGTCAGGCTGGGCAAACAGGTGTCACAATATCCACACAGGTGTTTACCATGTGCATGGACTGGGCCTTGGGTGCAGAGCCCAGCCCTGTGTGCCCCTGTCTGTGCTCCCACACATAGGGTGTACACGGTCACATGTGGAGGTGTCACATGAGCGTGTACACGGTCATGTGTGGAGGTGTCACATGCACCACAGCGGAGGAGGTGTGCACACGTGCCTGTGACTGGACTCCTGCCTGTGCTCCTGCATGCACACCACACACAGTCACCTGTGCAAAGGGGGCCCTGTAGGCCTGGAAAAATGAAAACTATGGCTTTGCTGCTCACTTTGGAGGGGTGGGAAGGCCCAAGGCCCTGCCTGTGCTAGGGCTCTGCCTGGGTGAGGAAAGAAGTTCTGGGCCGACACTCCCATCCCAGCCCAGTGGCCTCAGGGGAGGGTAAAAGGGTAACCAGGCCCAGATGTGGCCTTTCTGCAGGGAGAGGCCACTCTCCCACAAGATGGGGGGGTGGGGTGGAAGCTGATGACTCAGACGGCTGGGGGAGGGCAGACAGCAGAGGTCAGAGTGGTGGCAGGAGCCCACCTTGAAGAGGCGGTAGGCGTACATGTCATTCATGTCCACGTTGACCATTCTGAGCAGGCTCTTGATCTCCTTGAAACTCATCTTACTATCCTGGTCCGAGTCAGCCCGGTGCAGGTAGGAGTGGATCCAGGTGTGGGTGCTCAGGAAATACCAGCAACAGGCTGGGCACTGCCCCTAGCTGACAGGTAACTGACAGGTAGGTCACCTCTGCCTGGCTCCAGGGCACCCTGCAGCCTTGGACTCCCTGAGCACAGTATTGGCATGTCCTCCAAGGGACCAGGACTCTCCAGAGATGGGAGACCATGTCACCACCCACAGTTCTGAAGACAAGGGACTGTTTCAGAATATGGGCCCTCTAGGGACAGGGTCATGCCTCTCCTCGACCTGGGATCCTCCAGGGACAGGGCCTGCCCTCCCGTCACACCTGGGGATGGCCCTCCCCTCCCCGAGCAGGATATTGGTCGAGGCGCTCGCGCTGGCTCATGGCGTCGAGGCGTGCGCGCAGCTTGGCCAGGCCGCGCACCCAGCGCTGTGCTTCCTCGGCTGTGGGCGCCGCCAGGTCCAAGTTTTTGCGGCGCCCCTTGAAGGCGATGGTGAGGCAGCGTGCCGGCGCGAAGGCACCGCCGAAGCGCCGCAGGCCCTCGGACTGGTGGCCCTCGCGGACGGCCTCGATGTGCTGCACGAGGACTGTGGGGAGGGACGAGACGCGCGCGGAGGGTCAGGGCGGCCGGGCGGGCCTGGGCACTGTACCAGACCGTCCGGCTTCCCGGCCCAGGCTCACAGATATGCTGCGAAGGCGCACGCGGGATGCTCCGCTGGAACCACACGCTCAGGCCATCCTCCTGCAGCCGGTACAGCCGCTCCTTGTGCCACGTCCGTGAGCGGATCTTGCAGAGCCGGGATCCCCGCAGCATGGCACGCACATCCTCATCCTCTGTCAGGCCTGCAGGGGGCACAAGGCCACAGGGCTTGGGGTCCTGGCCCTGCTGGGAAAATCCCTCCACCCTCCTCCCAGCTGCGAGCAGCGGCCTACCTCCCTGAGCCTTTCCAAACCTGCTCAGGCTTTTCTTCCTCTCCTTGGTGTAACAGGCTCCAATACTGGGCTGGGCTTTAGGCCCTTTGGCCCCAAGGTCTGTGATCTGTGTACCCCACCCAGACCCCCTGGGAGGGGTGCCAGTAGCAGGCCACCTCCTCCCTGCCAAGCAGCCACCTCTGGAGGCTCTCAGAGTAGAGCAACCCTCCGGCAGCGCCTGGGTCTCAGACTTCACTAGAAATCACCCTCTCTGTCACCCCCTCCATCACAGCCTCCAGCCTTCAAGCCCCAAACCTGCCACCAATAGCCTTTTTCCTTGATGTGAAACCTGGACCATCAAGAAGGTCGTCTCGCTATCTAACCTAATTCTCTCTTGCTACAACTCAAGCTCCTCACCTCTGCTTTCCCAAGGACAAGGGAGGAAAGCAGAGGCCTCTCTGACTCCAGAGTCCTGGGCCAAGGACTCCAGGACCAGCCCTGCTTTGGCAAGCCTGTGGCTGATCTCCAGGGGTCTCTGACCTGGTGGGGCCCAGCCAAAGGCTTGGTCTTCTGTGGCCCCTTGCCCAACCACTGTCACAGCCCTGAGTAATCCCTCAGTGCACATGTGCTTTCTGGTCATTGTGTCCTCCTTCCTCAATGGGACAAATGCTTACAAAGCGCCTACTGCGTGCCAGCCTCTGCTTGGGTATTAACATAAGAAAACAAGTGCAGGAAAGTGTAAACACCTGCCAGAATTCCGTGGCTAGAAAGTGGTGACGCAGCTTCAAAACCTGGAGGCTTGGCTTTGCGCTTGGCCACCACACAGAACCCCTCTGCTCCCGCTTGTCTTCTCCTCTCCCCCACCTCCCTGCTACTAACCTGGGAAGGGGATAGAAGGAAAAAGTAGAATTTAAATTCAGGGGTCCATGGATTCCGATCTGGTCACTTCCCAATGACATGGCCTTGGTGGCACTGACTTGTGACTGCTCTAAGCCTCCTATTCTCCATGCATAAAATGGAGACCACAATAGTACCTCCAGCAAAATCCAAAATTCAATCGACATGCTGCCCATCCTGGGGGTGCCGCACCCTGCTCTGATTTGCCTCAGCAGGGGTCAGCACCAAGGGTTTATGAGGCAGGGAACAACAAAAGGGGTGGGAACCAGGCAACTGGAAGGCCCACACCCTTTGGAAGGAGGAGGGCAGCAGGAGTGGGTGAGGCTCCGGAGTTTCCAGGGAGCAGGAAACTGGGTTTCTATGTGAAGCATCCAGATTTTTCAATGTTGGCAAGTAAATCAAACTGAAACGATAACAACAAAAAAATCCCTAAAACACCACTGTGCTAAACCAAACAGGACAGGGGGCCTCTCTTCCTACTTAATTTTAACAAACCACCAATACTGGGTTTGGCTTTAGGCTTTGTGACCCTGAAGCCCCTGCTTTCTCAAGTTTCAAACTCTGACCCATGGAATCAAGTCTAAATCCCTGGGCCTCCTTCTCTCACTCTCTTAGAATCTTTGTAGGATCCTTCTCCCTTTCCTCTTCCTCACACTGGAGTACTTCAAGGACCAGCTCAGACACTGTCTCCTCCAGGAAGTCCCCCTTGATTTGTCCTCAAATGGTTATTCTCCCTCCTTGACCACCAACAGCACTTTTTACTTTAAATCACAAATGTGCAGACACTGCAGGTAAACTGGAACCTCAGTGAGCTTTAATAAACTTGAGGCAGGTATGAGGTCTTGTGTCGTCACCTCACACTCGTTCCAGAGCCAGGCTCACAGCCTGTGTTTTCTGAAAGGGGAGGCAGGTGGACAGACCACTGGGGAGCTAAGTACATTGTACCCCCAGCCCTGCCCCATCTGTCCTGAGTTCAGGGCAGAAGCCTTATGTTTCAGGGTTTTTCAACCCTGGCTGCACATCAGAATCACATGGAGGAGGATGCAAAACCCATGGTTCAGAGATTCCTCCAGCAGGTGTGAGTTGGGGCCTGGGTAACTGTATGCTTAAAAATCTACCCTGTGACTTTGAGGGCAACTGCAACTAAGAATCAGATTCTTGGGGCCAGCAGGAAAAATCTGCCATCCTTAGGAGGCTATGGACCCCTTCAGGGCCAGCCTGTGGCCCAAATGGCTCCAAGGGTCTCTCAGGAGTCAGTGCCCATTTGGCTTCCCTTGGCCAGGAGGGGGAGGTGGGACTCTCTTCTTCTTTCCGAAGAGCTAGAATGTGGCATGTACCAGACCAAGAGACTCTCCAGACCTTCAGCCCCCTATGTCCATCTCCAGGCAACCTGTGAATTCTCTCATCCTGAGAAACAACAGGGCGGGGGCAGGACAGTTGGGGAAATTGCAGGGCCACAGCTGAGCCCGGCCCTCCTCCACCTCTTCAGCTGTGGGAAAGGGGGCCTCTCCTTCCCACGATAGCCAGGCTCTGCAGCTGGGCCCCCCCTACCCCCCACCCAACCAGCCCTCTGATATGCCAAGCCCAGAGTTGGGGGGTAGGTGCGGGGACTGGTGAATGACTAAAGCCGGAAATGGAGGTGAGTCACTGAGGGCCTGCTTTGTCCAGAGTCTTCTACAAACAGTACATCGAGACAGGCAGCCAGAACTCCTGACCAGACACCCTTAGGACAGGTTCCCACACTGAGGGGGCCCCTGCTCTTGGCCCTCATCCCAGCTCCCCAAGAGACTGTTGGGGTAAAAGGTGACATTCCAGTATGCCACCCAACCAGTACTGGCCCCTGGATCACACTGTCCCCAACCACACACCCAGTGGAAAAACAGATGTTTCCCCTGAGTCCACCCTTTGTTGATGGAAGGATATGTGTGGCTTAAAAGAAGTTGAAATTTTATAAAGACGCCATGTTGAGCTTCTTTTTAATGGCTTTATCTTTGGGAGTCATGATTAAAATGTCCTTCCCTACCCTCAAGGTTTTCTTCTGGAAATGTGATTTTAATACATTTACTAAATCTGAAGGTGGGAGAAGGGAGCCTCTCACAAAGCTTCATTCCTCCACTGGCCAATTGTCCCAGCAGCACTTGGCGAAAGAGTGAGTCTTTGGGCAAGATTTCCTTTGGAAGGGCTGAGAATGGCTGGAGTCACCCGGAGGACTCCGGGGCTGGGCATAGGGGTCCTGGGGGCTCACCGTGAAGGCGTGGTCACGTACAACCTGGACCACATCTCGGAAGAGGATCTTAGAGGTGAGGGTGTGGCCATGGTAGATGATGGGCTCCCCTCCTGGCCCCTCCCAGCAGTCAAGCTCCACACAGCGGCATCCCTGCGCAAAGGCCCTGAGGACAGACAGATGGACGGGCATGGTATCATGTGGGTGCCACAGCACAGGGAGACAGATGGGCTAAGCCAGGTAGGTCCAGGAAGTTCACAGTAGGAGCTGAACTCCATATTGCCCCCAAGTTGGACTCTCAGACACGTTCACTCCCACTGTGCCCTGGCTATACCTAACATAGGCCTCGGTGCTGCTGGGTCCCCCAATCTGAGAGTCAGTCAAATAGGTATTGTGGGAGGAGGAGATGAAATAGTGGGAGAGGGGGTGGTCCATGTCCTGGAACACACACGTGTGGGCCGAGTCCAGGGCAGCCCCTTCAGGTGACAACAGGTACATCATAAAGCCATCCAGTGTCATCAGCTCGTGCTGCTTGGCTGCAGGGATGGGCAGAGCAGAGCGTCAGGCCATAAGGAGGATCCCATGTCCAGCCCCAAATGCCCCCAAAGCTCACTCAATAAACACTATCTACCACCTGAACTCTACCTAAGTTAGGCCATTTCATCTCCACCAAACCCTATGAGAAAGGCACATTACTCTGCCATTTTACAGATGTGGCAGCTGAGTCTTGAAGAGGTGAGGTAACCTGCTGAAGATGGCCCACTTGACTGGAACCCCGACCTGTCAGATGCCAAGGTGGGACTGTGTTGACCCCAAGCCCCTCTGTCAGACCCCCCACCTGTCTCATTGAGCTCATAGGTCTGGATGAGCTGCTGGGCGTGGGCCAGCGTGGCGCCATCCTCGCCCTGGTCCTCCAGGAACTCCAGCAGCTCAGGGGCACTCAGCACGCGGTCTTCGCCTGAGTACCAGTGGAAGATGTCCTCCAACTCGGGGCGTTTCAGCAGACGCCGCAGAAACTCTTCAATCTCAGTTCCCTCTAGCCGCTCGTTGTTGGAGTGGTCACACTCCTAGAAAGCAGCAGGGGAAACTCAGAGGAAGGGGCCGCCCTGCGCAAGCTAGCCTGCCCTGACACACCTGCCAGAGCAGGAAGGCAGATTTCACAGGCTGAGAAGTGGAGAGCTAGTGAGGCTCCAGTCCCGTGCAAGCTCACTGCTGGTACGTTGTAGGGCTCGGACTCTCAAGAAGGTCTCTTGGCTTCAGTGCCAGTCCCCTATACCATGACCTACCCCAAGAATGGAGATGTGGGAGGAAAAACAGTGGTCTTGGACAGAACTGAGCCCATGCCATAATTTCCCTTGCCCATGCATACATTACCATCCTCACAGTTCCACATTCATGCCCAGGGGCAGTGTGCAACAAATAACCGAGAATCATGTGGAGCAGTCCAGGGGGAGCTGTCAGCCCAGGTGTACAGGTGCCATGGCTCTCTTCAGTGTCAGGCTGGGCAAACAGGTGTCACAATATCCACACAGGTGTTTACCATGTGCATGGACTGGGCCTTGGGTGCAGAGCCCAGCCCTGTGTGCCCCTGTCTGTGCTCCCACACATAGGGTGTACACGGTCACATGTGGAGGTGTCACATGAGCGTGTACACGGTCATGTGTGGAGGTGTCACATGCACCACAGCGGAGGAGGTGTGCACACGTGCCTGTGACTGGACTCCTGCCTGTGCTCCTGCATGCACACCACACACAGTCACCTGTGCAAAGGGGGCCCTGTAGGCCTGGAAAAATGAAAACTATGGCTTTGCTGCTCACTTTGGAGGGGTGGGAAGGCCCGAGGCCCTGCCTGTGCTAGGGCTCTGCCTGGGTGAGGAAAGAAGTTCTGGGCCGACACTCCCATCCCAGCCCAGTGGCCTCAGGGGAGGGTAAAAGGGTAACCAGGCCCAGATGTGGCCTTTCTGCAGGGAGAGGCCACTCTCCCACAAGATGGGGGGGTGGGGTGGAAGCTGATGACTCAGACGGCTGGGGGAGGGCAGACAGCAGAGGTCAGAGTGGTGGCAGGAGCCCACCTTGAAGAGGCGGTAGGCGTACATGTCATTCATGTCCACGTTGACCATTCTGAGCAGGCTCTTGATCTCCTTGAAACTCATCTTACTATCCTGGTCCGAGTCAGCCCGGTGCAGGTAGGAGTGGATCCAGGTGTGGGTGCTCAGGAAATACCAGCAACAGGCTGGGCACTGCCCCTAGCTGACAGGTAACTGACAGGTAGGTCACCTCTGCCTGGCTCCAGGGCACCCTGCAGCCTTGGACTCCCTGAGCACAGTATTGGCATGTCCTCCAAGGGACCAGGACTCTCCAGAGATGGGAGACCATGTCACCACCCACAGTTCTGAAGACAAGGGACTGTTTCAGAATATGGGCCCTCTAGGGACAGGGTCATGCCTCTCCTCGACCTGGGATCCTCCAGGGACAGGGCCTGCCCTCCCGTCACACCTGGGGATGGCCCTCCCCTCCCCGAGCAGGATATTGGTCGAGGCGCTCGCGCTGGCTCATGGCGTCGAGGCGTGCGCGCAGCTTGGCCAGGCCGCGCACCCAGCGCTGTGCTTCCTCGGCTGTGGGCGCCGCCAGGTCCAAGTTTTTGCGGCGCCCCTTGAAGGCGATGGTGAGGCAGCGTGCCGGCGCGAAGGCACCGCCGAAGCGCCGCAGGCCCTCGGACTGGTGGCCCTCGCGGACGGCCTCGATGTGCTGCACGAGGACTGTGGGGAGGGACGAGACGCGCGCGGAGGGTCAGGGCGGCCGGGCGGGCCTGGGCACTGTACCAGACCGTCCGGCTTCCCGGCCCAGGCTCACAGATATGCTGCGAAGGCGCACGCGGGATGCTCCGCTGGAACCACACGCTCAGGCCATCCTCCTGCAGCCGGTACAGCCGCTCCTTGTGCCACGTCCGTGAGCGGATCTTGCAGAGCCGGGATCCCCGCAGCATGGCACGCACATCCTCATCCTCTGTCAGGCCTGCAGGGGGCACAAGGCCACAGGGCTTGGGGTCCTGGCCCTGCTGGGAAAATCCCTCCACCCTCCTCCCAGCTGCGAGCAGCGGCCTACCTCCCTGAGCCTTTCCAAACCTGCTCAGGCTTTTCTTCCTCTCCTTGGTGTAACAGGCTCCAATACTGGGCTGGGCTTTAGGCCCTTTGGCCCCAAGGTCTGTGATCTGTGTACCCCACCCAGACCCCCTGGGAGGGGTGCCAGTAGCAGGCCACCTCCTCCCTGCCAAGCAGCCACCTCTGGAGGCTCTCAGAGTAGAGCAACCCTCCGGCAGCGCCTGGGTCTCAGACTTCACTAGAAATCACCCTCTCTGTCACCCCCTCCATCACAGCCTCCAGCCTTCAAGCCCCAAACCTGCCACCAACAGCCTTTTTCCTTGATGTGAAACCTGGACCATCAAGAAGGTCGTCTCGCTATCTAACCTAATTCTCTCTTGCTACAACTCAAGCTCCTCACCTCTGCTTTCCCAAGGACAAGGGAGGAAAGCAGAGGCCTCTCTGACTCCAGAGTCCTGGGCCAAGGACTCCAGGACCAGCCCTGCTTTGGCAAGCCTGTGGCTGATCTCCAGGGGTCTCTGACCTGGTGGGGCCCAGCCAAAGGCTTGGTCTTCTGTGGCCCCTTGCCCAACCACTGTCACAGCCCTGAGTAATCCCTCAGTGCACATGTGCTTTCTGGTCATTGTGTCCTCCTTCCTCAATGGGACAAATGCTTACAAAGCGCCTACTGCGTGCCAGCCTCTGCTTGGGTATTAACATAAGAAAACAAGTGCAGGAAAGTGTAAACACCTGCCAGAATTCCGTGGCTAGAAAGTGGTGACGCAGCTTCAAAACCTGGAGGCTTGGCTTTGCGCTTGGCCACCACACAGAACCCCTCTGCTCCCGCTTGTCTTCTCCTCTCCCCCACCTCCCTGCTACTAACCTGGGAAGGGGATAGAAGGAAAAAGTAGAATTTAAATTCAGGGGTCCATGGATTCCGATCTGGTCACTTCCCAATGACATGGCCTTGGTGGCACTGACTTGTGACTGCTCTAAGCCTCCTATTCTCCATGCATAAAATGGAGACCACAATAGTACCTCCAGCAAAATCCAAAATTCAATCGACATGCTGCCCATCCTGGGGGTGCCGCACCCTGCTCTGATTTGCCTCAGCAGGGGTCAGCACCAAGGGTTTATGAGGCAGGGAACAACAAAAGGGGTGGGAACCAGGCAACTGGAAGGCCCACACCCTTTGGAAGGAGGAGGGCAGCAGGAGTGGGTGAGGCTCCGGAGTTTCCAGGGAGCAGGAAACTGGGTTTCTATGTGAAGCATCCAGATTTTTCAATGTTGGCAAGTAAATCAAACTGAAACGATAACAACAAAAAAATCCCTAAAACACCACTGTGCTAAACCAAACAGGACAGGGGGCCTCTCTTCCTACTTAATTTTAACAAACCACCAATACTGGGTTTGGCTTTAGGCTTTGTGACCCTGAAGCCCCTGCTTTCTCAAGTTTCAAACTCTGACCCATGGAATCAAGTCTAAATCCCTGGGCCTCCTTCTCTCACTCTCTTAGAATCTTTGTAGGATCCTTCTCCCTTTCCTCTTCCTCACACTGGAGTACTTCAAGGACCAGCTCAGACACTGTCTCCTCCAGGAAGTCCCCCTTGATTTGTCCTCAAATGGTTATTCTCCCTCCTTGACCACCAACAGCACTTTTTACTTTAAATCACAAATGTGCAGACACTGCAGGTAAACTGGAACCTCAGTGAGCTTTAATAAACTTGAGGCAGGTATGAGGTCTTGTGTCGTCACCTCACACTCGTTCCAGAGCCAGGCTCACAGCCTGTGTTTTCTGAAAGGGGAGGCAGGTGGACAGACCACTGGGGAGCTAAGTACATTGTACCCCCAGCCCTGCCCCATCTGTCCTGAGTTCAGGGCAGAAGCCTTATGTTTCAGGGTTTTTCAACCCTGGCTGCACATCAGAATCACATGGAGGAGGATGCAAAACCCATGGTTCAGAGATTCCTCCAGCAGGTGTGAGTTGGGGCCTGGGTAACTGTATGCTTAAAAATCTACCCTGTGACTTTGAGGGCAACTGCAACTAAGAATCAGATTCTTGGGGCCAGCAGGAAAAATCTGCCATCCTTAGGAGGCTATGGACCCCTTCAGGGCCAGCCTGTGGCCCAAATGGCTCCAAGGGTCTCTCAGGAGTCAGTGCCCATTTGGCTTCCCTTGGCCAGGAGGGGGAGGTGGGACTCTCTTCTTCTTTCCGAAGAGCTAGAATGTGGCATGTACCAGACCAAGAGACTCTCCAGACCTTCAGCCCCCTATGTCCATCTCCAGGCAACCTGTGAATTCTCTCATCCTGAGAAACAACAGGGCGGGGGCAGGACAGTTGGGGAAATTGCAGGGCCACAGCTGAGCCCGGCCCTCCTCCACCTCTTCAGCTGTGGGAAAGGGGGCCTCTCCTTCCCACGATAGCCAGGCTCTGCAGCTGGGCCCCCCCTACCCCCCACCCAACCAGCCCTCTGATATGCCAAGCCCAGAGTTGGGGGGTAGGTGCGGGGACTGGTGAATGACTAAAGCCGGAAATGGAGGTGAGTCACTGAGGGCCTGCTTTGTCCAGAGTCTTCTACAAACAGTACATCGAGACAGGCAGCCAGAACTCCTGACCAGACACCCTTAGGACAGGTTCCCACACTGAGGGGGCCCCTGCTCTTGGCCCTCATCCCAGCTCCCCAAGAGACTGTTGGGGTAAAAGGTGACATTCCAGTATGCCACCCAACCAGTACTGGCCCCTGGATCACACTGTCCCCAACCACACACCCAGTGGAAAAGCGACAGTGTGGTGCCAGGTAGGCCTTGGTGCTGATTCCCAGGTGGGGGCCACTATTTCTCTGTTGCTTGAGCTTTTGAACGCTGGAGTAGTGAGGGGGCTTCAGACAGGAAGGGCAGCTCCAGCAGAGGTAAGAGGGTGAGGTCAGGAGGAGGGCCCAGGGCCTGGGCCATGATGCTGAGAGGGGCCTGGCCCTCCGGCCAGCCGCCTAGTAAATGTTTATAGGTCCTGCCAGGCACAGACCCGCAGATGTTTCCTGGACCTCACTCCTGCTTGGAGCAGGTACAGCTGCCTCCTGCGGTTTCTGTGGATTCTCTACCTATCCATCTCTGCCTGTACCCTGGGCTGGACCAGCACCATGGCCACTTCCACTGAGCAGGTGTGGGAAACAATCATGAAATAAGAGCAGTAAAGATGAAGGTGAAAAATAGCCAAAAAGTGGAAACATGTCCATCAGCAGATGAATGGATGATCAAAATGTGATGTACATGTACAGCGGAATAATCGGCCATAAAAAGGAATGAAATCTGATCTATGTTACAACATGGATGGACCTTGACAACATTATGCTAATGAAATAAGCCAGACACAAAAAGACAAATATCATACGATTCCACTTATATGTGGCACCTAGAAGAGGCAAATTCATAGAAACAGATTATATGTCACTTAGACCTTAATTAAATAAGCAAACTCTGAGACCGAAAGTACATTAGAGGTTACCAGGTGCTGGGGGAAGGGAGGAGGGGGAAATTACTGCTTAATAGTTACTGAGTTTCTGTTTAGGATGATGGAAAGTTTTGGAAATAGTAGCACAATACTGTGAATGTAATTAATGCCACTAAATAAGTTGCTTAAAAATGGTTAAAATGGCCAATTTCATTAGATATATTTTACCACGATTTTAAAAAACGAAGAATGTAATATGCCAGAAAGCGAGTATACTCTAAATGGGTGAGTTGTCTGGTATGTGAGTATCTCAGTAAAGCTGTTGAAGAGGCGCAGAGCAGCTCACTTGTCCAGGGCCACCAGGTTGGCAGTGTGCAGCTGGAATGCGTGGAATGAACTGAAGCACGGGGAGCCCTCTGTTTAGGGCCGGACCCACTAAATTATAAAGAAGGAAGCTGAAGCAGTGCTCCAGGAGGGAAGAGGGATGCAGTTCTTCGATCCATCTGTCCTCCTCGGTCCCGGGGCCCCCAGCAGAGCCCCCAGCGGGGCCCTCCTCTGCCCTGTTCAGTGTTGTCAGCTGGGTTCAGACACATTCCCTGCTTGTCTCAGCCTCCAGAGAGACCAGGGTTGGTGAGGAATGGGCAGGTCCACAGTTTCCCAACTACTACCTTTAGCCTGGGCGATATGGGCTGTGTGTGGTCTGGGGCCTGGGCAGTTCTATCTGGGTAGCCAAGGCCATGGGCAGGAAACTCAATGGCAGAGCTAGAAGGGGCGTGGCAAAGGCCAAGTCCATCCCTGACCCCCAAATTCCAACCTTTGCATACATGGGTCCCTGGAGCTCAGGGAGGGCAAGCCCTCTGACAGCAGTGTGGCTGATAGCAGTGCGGGCTGCCCAAGGCAAAGATGGGTGGGTGCAGGGCAGTGGCAGGGGTGGGTGGGGGCCAGAGCAGGGGAGGTGGGGGTGCTGTGTGGTTACAGGCTGTGTACACAGAGGGGTAATATGCAGAGAGCAGGGTGTGGAAGGAGTGGTAGGTCTCCAGTGAGGGTGTGTGTAGGGTGTGTGTGCACTGGTGTGTGTGTGTCTGTGTGTGTGGTGGGCAGGAGGAAGGTGGGTCAGCTTAGGGAGGAAAATAGGCTGTGTGTGTGTGTGTGTGTGTGTGTGTGTGTGTGTGTGTGTGTGTGTGCCAGTGCACTCAGGAAGGGCACATGGGCTCCAGCAGGAATGTGAGACATGCAGGGAAAAGTGACAGCCCAGTCGAATGATAGTTTCATGCCAAAGGGGGGAGGGGAAGGAGAGCAGCTGTTCCTGGTGGCTGGGGCCATGAGGCTCTGGGAGGGAGGACACAAAATGGCAGGGGGTCCCAAACACCTTCGCACCCTAATCCTCTAGCCAGCAGGCAGCCCCAGGACCTCAGGTACTGAGCATGTCCCCCTTCCTGGCCACCACACCCAGTGCTATTGCCCAGTGCAGCTCAATGCCAGACTCCATTAACATTCCTGGGAGAATCAACAAAGTCAGGAAAAGCAGGCGGTACTTCTCCTGCTCCAAGGCTGGACACAGGAAAGTGGGGTGGTAGCCCTCTTCCAGGCAGGGCGAGAGTAGGTGTGAAACCTACTTGGGGACAGAAGTCATGGTGGGGTCTCCCCAGAGCTGAAGAAGGCAGAGAGAAGAGGGGTCCACAAGGCATGACAGAGCCAGTCAGCCACCCAGTCTTGCCGGGCATGAGAGGCCAGGCACCTGCCAGGACTGGGAGGCCTCTCTCAAGGCCAATCCAGTGATTGGCAGCCCCACTCACCCTGCAGGAGACGCGCCGGGCAGGCCATCAGGAGAGCCCTCTTGCTCTGCGGCCCATGGCGGAGTGTGCAGGCCAGGAAGGGAAGGGAGCAGGATTCTGCCCACTCAGGGCTCTGCTTGCTGGGAGGACTAGGGGAGGGTGGGGCATCAGGGCCACAGGCACAGATGGGGCTCTGGGAGTTAAGGCTCTCAGATAAAATTCAGATGTCCAGTTAAATCCCAATTTTGGATAAACAAATATTTTAGTATAAATATGTCCTTCATTGTCCCTAATTGTCCATTGTTTAAAATTCACATTTAACTGGGCATCCAGTATTTTATTTGGCACGCCTATGAGGATACCCCCAGAGGTTGGCAGAGCTGCTCCGGGAGAGGGGAGTAGCAGGCCCTTCCCAGGCATAAATCACTCATTCACTCATTGTGCTCCCAGCTGGGACAGACTGCCTGAGCTGGCATCCTCTCTCAGCTACTTCCCTGCTTTGAAGCTCTCTGAACCTAAGTTTTCCTCATTTCTAAAATGAGGCTAACGGTACCACCTAGCTCATATGACTGTGAGCATTAAATGAGCTAATACATGAAGTACCCCCGGCATAGTATTATAAAGGCATTAATTAGTATTCATAAATTCTGGAAATGAAGAGCTATCATTGAAAACTAGGCTTTCGGGGCAGACAGACCCGGTGGCCCTGGGCGGGTGAATTCAGCGCCTCCGCCTGAGCTCCCGTGCACTGGGAGAACAGTAGTGGCACCTTCCCCTTGGGACCGCCAAGGACCAGGCAGGATCTGGGCAGACGACGGCTCAGCCCTGTGCCTGGCCCATTGCAGGTGTGCACTGGACTCTGCTTCCACAATTCCCAGGCTTCCTGGGGCAGGCCAAGCCTGCAGCTGGCCCAGGGGCAGGGACAGGAGAGGGACCCCAGGTTCACAAGTGACTCCCAGTCAACATGGGGTGACCATTCCTCCCTCCTCCCCTTTACCCAGTTTCCCCAGTATAGCCCTAAAGGCCCTTTCTTTTCCTTGGGCACCTCTGAGCTTTTGAGCCACTCCCTGACCTAGTCTCTCGATCTGATCTGAAATAAAATCTGCTCTGTTAGCCAAAGGGGTGTGGCCATGGCTGTGACAGGGAGCAGTGTGGGGGCCATCTCAGGACGAGCTTCGGCTCCCTGTATTGGGGGGCCTGGGTCTAAGCCCTGATGGCCCAAGGGGATGGGCTCACTGGGTTTCATCTCTACCCTGTGTCTGGACTCAGTGAGGCCTGGGGAGGGCCTTCCCCTCAGACCTGACATTCCTCTCAAAGCAGTCACTCAGCATGATGGGGCAGTGGTGGGGAGGGAGGGTGGCCCAGATGACATTCTGACACCCACATAGTTCCTGACAGTGTCCCTGTGACCACGTGCCCAGAACTCCCGTGCAACCTTACTCAGCCAACAGGTGCTGAGTCCTGGGCTCACCTGCACTTATTTGTTGACAAGTGTCCCCTGCTACTAAGCTGTGTGCTCCCCCAGGGCAAAGTGCTGTGTCACTCACTGCCATAGCCTCAGCCCCTGACACAGTGCTCCGGCACACTGATGGGGCTAAACAAAATGTGTGCAGAATGAAGAGGCAGACAGGTACGCAGGTACATCGCCGGGCCCTCCTGAGGTGGCCACAGCCCCTGCGGCAGCCAACTCGGAAGGATGGCTGACTCCTGGGGCTGCTCCTTTGGCCAACACCAGCCCTGATTGCCTCAGTGGCACCTCATCCCCCACAGCCATCCTCCTCTCCCCAGACTACTGCTCCTTAGCCTAGAGAACGACACTGCCACCCACCAGAGACACCTTTCAGATCCTGCAGATAGCAGAGGCCAACACAGTCTACCTCCTAGGTGGTCTTAGAATCCACCTTGGCTGCGCCCCGCCCAACTCTGAACCCCACCATAGCTTGTCAACGAGTCTCCGTTGACATAACACTTTCCTGTTTCACCCACGCTTTCGTCCAACTCACTCCCTCTCTGCACAACTCCTGCCTCCCTCCTCCTGCTTGAGACCTTTCTGGGGCTCCTGCTGCCCTCCAGTGGAAGCCCATAACTTCCTAAGGAGGACCCTGAGGACCAGGCCACCACCTGCCTCACCCCCTTTGCCTCTCCTCAGTCTCCCTCCAGCTCTGGGGTGCAGCCTGGGCCCTCACTAGCTCCCACTTGCCCCCTCCTTTTATACATAGTCTTAGTTCTTCATTCCATTGTCTGACCTCCTTGCCAATACTTCAACTCTAAGGGCCAGGACTGTGTCTGTCTTGTTCATTTCGGGATCTGCAGGGCAGAACGTCCTATAAGCACTCAATAAATGTTAGGTGAATGCATGCATGATTGGTGGAAGGTAAGGTAGAGATCATCTTATCAAGATCATAAGAGATCATCTTATGTCTCTGCAAGGCAAATGCCAGGCTCAGTGCTCAGAACACTCAGCGCTCAGTAAATTCAGGTCGAATGAGTGGCGGGTGGGAGAAATAAGAACAAAGGGCGGGCAGCGGAAAAGAGAAGGCAAGACTGTCAGCTGGAACCCCTGAAGTCTACTCCACATTCGAACAGGCTCCTGGGCAGCCCTGCCCTTCTGTTCCCTCAGCCACACACTTGGCCTCTCCATCATTAACTATTCTACCCACAGCAGGTCCAATATGCCACTCTGGTTTCATGATACTTTACATTTTATAGAAGACAAATTCAAGCCACTCAGCCACCCAATCGGCCACACTTTGCTCAGACCCTGAGAGGATACCAGCGGCAGTGTGGTGCAGCACTGCCTGCATGCCCACCTCTGCCCTATACTAGCTGTGGGGTCACAGACAAATTCCTTGACTTCTCTGAGTCGATTTCCTCATCTGTAACCTGGGGATCATACCACCTACTTCTCAGGAAGGTGAAGAAGACTGACTGACACCGCTTATGTAGCTACACCATGCCAGGCCTGTCTGGGAGATGCTTAAAAAGCCACAGTCACATTCCTTCTCCCCAGCGACTTCTCCCAAATCTGAGGTAGAACTCTGACTTTCTGACTCGGAAGGCAATGCGCTCACCAGTTAGACCAGTCCTACTAGTCTATGTTGCTGTTGCAACTCTGTGGGGGCTGCAGCGTTGGAGGACTGGTTGACAGGCCAGCCTCTTCCACAATTCTCATGCCCTCCTGCCAGCGGCCAAGAACCCAGGACGCCCTGGGGAGCCGCAAACCCTAGAAGGCACAGGGTGTTGGGGAGCTGGGTGAGGGAACATCGCAAGCCTGACGTTTCAATCTACTCTCGGAGCCCTCAGGAACACCATTCCGCGTCCCTCGCCCAAACTCCCACTCCCGCACTCCCCGCGGGCGCCTCCTGGTGGGAAACGAAGGCCATCCTGGGCGCCTCGCTCGGCCCGGAACGTCCCGTGACCCCAGGTGCACCCCCAGCGAGACCGGTGCTGGCGTTCCATCCCTCGCCCTACTCTCCACAACCCCATGCAGCCTGGGGAGCCCGCGAACGGCTCGCTGGAACACCCAGGCCCTCCCGGGCTGCCCGCTGAGCGGAGTCCGCGCCCACCCCGAACCACCCCTGCCGGTCACTGACCCATCTTCTTCAGCGCTCGCAGCCCGGGTCTCTTGGTGCCGCCGTCCGGGGGCGGCAGCGCGACGGGCGCCGCGACCTGGGCCGACACCGGGGATATCTCGGGCGGGCGGCCGCGGCAGCTGCTCCAGCGGCCGCACAGCATGGCTCGGTGGGGCCCGGGCCGGGCCCGGGGTCTGCGCGCGGGGACAGGGCAGCGGGCGCGCCTCTCCAGGCCGGCCCCGGCTCAGAGTGCAGTCCGGAGCGAAGAAACTTAGCGGCCCGGGAGGGCGTCGGGAGGAGGTGGTGTCGGGAGGAGGGGGCGGGGGAGGAACGAGGTTCAGGGAAGGAGGGACCCGGAGGGAGGGGGCGGGGCCGAGAACGGCGCAGGAGGCGGGGGCGGGGAGAGGAGCGGTGACCGCAGGCTGGGACACGCGCCCTGCCTGAGGTTTGGGAAGGTGAAGAGGGGCCGGCCTGCGTCCCTCCCTCCGAGTCTCCACGTTCGCCTCCTGCTCATGAGTCTGCCTGCCCTTTCTTGGAGCGATCCTCCTACCCTGGCCCCATCGGCGACTGGAGCCCCCATTCAGGGGTTGGGGCGCACCAGAGGGGAAGAGGGCTGCCCTCTAGCACAGCCACCCTCTCCTTTCCCCAGACCCACAGTCAATGCGGACTCAGGACCTCTCTCCATCCGCTCTTTCCCTGACCCTCCAGGAGGCCTCAGAAGGGAGCCAGACAGGGACGGGGTTCTGGGCCAAGGGTCCATGGGCCGGAAAGTCGACAGAACCTCGGGAGCTGAGGTGGGCTGCCCAGCAGCTCGACCCCTAGGGATGGGGGAGCGGGAAGTGAGGGGTGGCGGATAGGAAGGCTCTGGCTGTTATGTCACAGGATTAACCCTGTCAGTGCCAGGGCAATTGCCGTCGTCTCAGTGGTAGAAGTCTAGAAGTTGACTGATCAGGATAGGATGGTATGGCGCTAAGTCAAGAGTCACTAGCAGAATCCCGGTTCTGAGTTCGAGGGTTGGAAGGGTTGGCACCCCAGCGCACGCTCTTTTTCCTGGGACAGCCGCTGCACGCTTCGTAGACGTCCGTGACATCAACCCATGGGGGAGCGTCAAGTGCGGGTTCTGGTACTGAGTCATGCGTTCACTTACTATACGTGAAGCCACCGGAATATTTGTGGTTGAAGGGTGGGAGGACAGGGACGAACGCTTGCGTGTGCACGCCTGTCTGGGTTGTCTGTAAGTGCCCTAGGTCAGGATCGGAGAACTGGGCGCACAGCGCCCCTCGGAGGCGGCCAAGAGCGTGGCATCTCAAAAAGAAAGCTTAGTTTCTCTGGACCTAGATTTGCCTTCTATTTGCTTCAGGCTCTATCCCATTCTCAGATATTCCCGACGCAGAGATTCTGCATGCTGGTTGGGTCCCCACCCCTCTCTGGATATCTTTCTAAATGTCAAATCTTCGTCTCTGGACTTTTGATCCTGCAATTCTTTCTTCCAAGAATGACCTTCCTCATTCTTCTCCTGGTTTGCACTTAAGTGTTCCTGGGGACACAATGTCCCTACTCCTGAACCCCTGACCCCAGGACATAACTCCCTTTTTTTTTAACCAGCACCTGGTAAGTGTCTGAATAACAGCTGAGTTGGTTCACTGGAATCCGCAGGACCTGGGTTCAGCTGACAGGTTTCCACCAGTGGGCGAGAGGACTCAGCATCATTTCACTATGTCCACCGGGGGGCGCTTCCGCCCGTCTTTGGCTGTCAAGGATTGGGGAACCGCCCAGCGGATTCGCCCCGCCTGATTGGGAGAGGCACAGCTAAACTATTTGCATAATCCTGAAAGGGCCGCACTGAGTGGTTGGGGTATAGAAGCCGAATCTGAAACGGGCTATCTCATTGGTTTAAATTTCCCCGCTTGCCTTGCTTTCCCGTCGCGGCCAGACTTGGCCCTGAGGTCAGTCGGAAGCCTCCGGCTAGTGGCGAGAGAGGACCCAGGTGTCCAGGCCGTGGGCGCTGCAGGGTGAGTGCCGGGCGGCCGGGCGGCCGGGCGGGGGTATGAGGGAGCCAGGTGGGGGGATACTCTTCGCCCCGCCCTGACTCCTCTAGGCTTGCCCATTGGCCTGTCTTAGAAGTTGGAGATAAGCATCTACAAAGGAACTGCGACCCTTGCCACCTGCTTCTCCACCCACCCACTGAGGTCTCCTCCGCCCACCCTGGCCCCCACCCACGCTCCCTTGGGTTAGGAAAAGGGGTCTTCTCAACCGGAGCTTCTGGCATTGGAGTATCTCACTCAGGCCTCTAAGAGCTTAGTCTGCCCCTCTGGAAAGTGGATCACAGGCTTACAGAGGTGTGTGCTGGGATGGACCCTGGGAAACCTATTCACACGGAGGCTTGTTCTTGCAGAGTCGCTCAAAAGCAGGGCCCCAGGGCTCGAAGCAGTTGGGTATGGGTACTGAGAACGAAAGCCCAGAACCGGACTGCCAGAAACAGTTCCAGGCGGCAGTCAGCGTCATTCAGAATCTGCCTAAGAACGGTGAGGGTACAGGGACCCGCATTTAGGGGTCAAGATGACTTGGGTCTGCCTCCTAGGAGGCTCTGATCTCTTAAGTTTCTGCAGATGAGTCCCTGCCTGGGTTTCCCTGGTGGTCCCCCCTGCCTCCTGGTCCTGTCCAGCTGCCCTGGGTGGGAACCCTCAATACTCTGTCCTCTCCAAGGGTGGTTCTCCCCCTCCCCACTCTCTTGGAGCTTGGGGTAATACTCTGCCCTCCACTCCCTAACCCCATGCCCAGGCTCTTACCGCCCCTCCTATGAAGAGATGCTGCGATTCTACAGCTACTACAAGCAGGCTACCATGGGGCCCTGCCTGCTCCCCCGGCCTGGGTTCTGGGACCCCATTGGACGATATAAGTGGTGAGCTCCCCACCAGTTGGGCAAACAAGCCTCAGCTGTCAACCAGCCTCTCATAGCCCTCTGCCCTCAGGGACGCCTGGAACAGCTTGGGCAAGATGAGCAGGGAAGAGGCCATGTCAGCCTACATCACTGAGATGAAGCTGGTGGCACAGAAGGTAGGGAGAGGCTACATCTCCTCTTTGTCCCCAAACTCTAAGCCAGGTGGCCTGCCCCCCACCCTTTCAGTGCTGACCCCCATTATGTTTCCTGTCCATTGACACTGCCACAGGAACTATCATCTTCATGCTCATCAAATCATAGACACTCCCCAACCCCACCTGTCTCTGGTCCCTGACTAGATGGAGGGGGCCCAGCTCAAGGGGAATAGGAAGGCAGGAGGGGCCAGCCCCTCCCCAACAGTTGCCTTCCTCCACAGGTGATCGACACAGTACCCCTGGGTGAGGTGGCAGAGGACATGTTTGGTTACTTCGAGCCCCTGTACCAAGTGATCCCTGATATGCCAAGGCCCCCGGAAACCTTCCTAAAAAGGGTCACAGGTCAGGCCCCTAGGCTGGGAGCTCCACAAGTGCTGAGTGAACTTTCTGAGGTCCAACTAAGGGGGGCTGCTCAGTTGGAGGGGGTCTGGGGGTAGAAGGCTCCAGGTGCCATCCCTGTAAGGCCCCCAGCCAGTGCCCCTGGTGGGGTGGGTCTCAGGCAGAGTTCATGGCTAATGCCGAGCAGGGGTCTGATGTCACTGGAAGGCACCAGCCTCTTCCCAGCCCCACTTCTGGGTGCTGCATCTTGGCAGGCCGGAAAGAGAAGGTACTGAATGGACATGCTGGGGCTGCTGCAGAGCCTCCCTGCCTCCCCAGTGAACCAGCACCCACCAGCCCAGGTCAGTGCCTGGGTAGGAGGGGAAGACAGCCAAACCCAGGCCAGGGGAGGGGGGGACAACCAGGAAGGTGAAGGGGAGAAGGATGGATGCCACGCTGTGCCTGCTACGCCTCCACAGGCACTGAGACCTACTGTCTCCCAAAGGCCAGGAGGCAGGCTCAGGGATTCCTGTTTCAGGGCCTCACTTCTGTGGGCCCATCTGTGCCTCCTGTGGCACAATCTCTAATGTGCCCTGACAGTTGCCTCTGCCCAGTTGCACACCCCTCTCTTCCCTCATACCCTCCCTCTTGCCACTAACCCTACTCACACCCTCCTCAGAGTCCCAGCTACCTAGGGACCTAGACTCTGAGGTTTTCTGCGATTCCCTGGAACAGCTGGAGCCTGAGCTGGTGAGACTCCCCCCATATCCCGTCCCCACCCCACTGCTCCCTGGCTGCTCGACCCCCACCCTGGGATCTCGTGACTCATCTCAGCAGGTTTTGGCAGAGCAGCAGGGAGCCTCCGGAGGAGAGCCTGCCACCGGAAACAGCCCCGTGCCCCCTGCAGAGAAAGGTGAACCCCTGCGTGGCCCTTCACCTCCGTCTCCCCTTCCCCGTGGTTCTGATATCCTAGGCCTTCCCTTGGCTGCCCTCTGGGGTTGGAGGTGAAAGTCCAGTGTTGGGCCCTGGAGACAGCAACCTCTGCCCAGGGAGGGTTCCCAAACAGCCAGGCACAGCCAGGATGGGTAAAGTCCCTGCCTGGTCTCCTGTCCCTGAGGGCCACCAGGAATCTGCCTTGGGCTGGCAGCTGGGATGGGAGTCCTAGCCTGACTCTCTCATCTCCAGCTACATGGCCTTGGGAGTTATCCTCTCTCTGGGCCTCCCATTTGGGACTCTCAAAGGACAAGTTCTGTCCTATCTCCTTCTAGAACTTCCAGTATGCCATGCCACACAAGGGGCACTTTCATACATAATATCTCCCTTATTCCACTAAGCAGCCCTGTGAAGGAGATGACATCTTCCCCTAATTCTCAGATGGTGAAATGAAGCTCAGAAAAATTACTGACTTGCTCAAAGTCCAACAGCTAAGTGGTATAATGTTGGAATTCAGTCCCTGGCAGCCTGTTCCTCAGGCATGTAGGTGGACTTTACAAGAGTTATACTTGGTACAAGAGATTGTGCTCTACTCTTACTCTTCTCTGGACCTGCCACCAACCCCCTGCCCCCAGCTAAGTTGCCTCCTGATTGCCCTTTGCTGTGTGTCTGCTCTGCAGAGGGCAGCCTCCTAGGGCCCCAGGACTTGGACACGTGGCTGGTGGGGACAGTTCGGGCACTGCAGGAGAACATGCAGGATGTCCAGGGGAGACTCCAGAGCCTGGAGAGCGTGAATGACCCACCCAAGCAGGTGAGCCCTGACCAAAGCCCAGGGCAAGCTTGGGGCAGAACGCTGACGGTCTTTATCAAGACCCTCTGACTTCTTCATCAAGTCACTTCTGACTTTGTCCCCACCTCTTCACCTGCCCACATCTCTGCCTTTGCCAGAGAATGGTGTGGCTCCACGCTGCAAGCAGAGAAGTCAGGGGGTCTGAAGTGCTTCCACCCTGGGAGGGTGGGAAGGGCCCTCTTTTCCTGCTCTTACCTTCCTTTGCCTGAAGAGAAGCAGAGCATGAGGACTGATTTCAACACTTTGGAAGAGCCAGGATGTGTCTACTCTTTGCATTGTGGCTGGGGTCCCTTTTGCTCCTCTGAATTTCTGTTCCCAGATTTAGAGTTTGCCCCCAAACAATTCGACTCTTGCATCCTTCACTCCCGCCCCGTCTCCTACATCTGCTTGCCCCTTATACCTCTGCTCCTAAACTCCTGCAAAATAAATGACAGCTGCCATTTCTGTAGCCCCAGCTATGTGCCAAACACATTATTTACATCATCTCATTTGATCCACACAACAACCCTGTATGTTTTCTTTTAATATCCCTTTTACAGCTGAGAAACTAAGTCTCTGAGAGGTTGAGCAATTTACCTGAAGTCATACAACCTGGAAGAACCTCACAGAGCTGTTGTGCGGATTAGATGAGATAATTCAACTAGGTGCTTTTGCAATGCCCAATACACAGGAAAGTCTTCTTGAAGGGGGTTCTGTGTTATTATTACCATTAGGTGATGGAGCTGGGGTGGCCCCAGGTCTGTCTCCCTCCAAAGTTGGCACCCACCATAAACTCTGTGTAGGTCTGTTATTAAGTTAAGCCTGAGTGGTGGGGGCAGGAGAGCGCCGACTTGCTGGATGTGGGGGAGCACCCGGTGACTCCTTGCTGTATTGGCACAGTGGGTGGTGGGAATTTCCTCAAATCTACAGTGGCTCTCTTTCAGCACTCACCCCCATGAGGCTTTCCTTATTTTACCTTTTACTAATTTTATATGTTGAAAATTTCAAAGGTTTCTACCTTAAAATTTTTGGCTTTGCATCTCTAAAAATCAGAACACACTACTACCTAGCCAAAACTACATTTTGTCACACACAATAATTAAATCCTTCATGTCATCAAACACCCGATCCAAACTAAGATCTTCCCAGTTGTCCTGAAGTTGCTTTTTCCAGCTGCCAGTCCAGGAGCACATGCTGCACCTGGTTCCTCTGTCCTTTCAGACTCTTAATCTACGCCAGTCCCTTTTCCTTGCTATTGGCTTACTGAGACTGGGCCAGTGGTCCTATAGCATGCTCACTTTTTGGGTCGGTCTGATTACACCCTCCTCGTGGCTAGTTTACATGACCAGGTTATGTCAGAAGTGACGTTCTTCACATCAGGGGATGCCTATCTGGATGTCCCACTGTTAATGATTCTAGCATGGATGAAGGAGTGAGTCTGTCCTACCATTATAAAGTCATGTTTTCCTCTTGCAGCCAGGGGATGTCTAGTTCCCCATCAGTCCCATTTGCCACACAGTTTTTGACAACAATTGATAGATAATCCTCACCTGGATTAATTATTTAGTGGTTGCAAAAAAAAAAATGTTGACATTTAAATTCCATTATTCCTTTTACTTTTATTCACTGCCATTTTTCTGTAGCATTTCCATGATCCAGGCACATCTAGGACCTCCCTGAAATACAGTGCCCTTATACCAAGGCAGAATAAACACTTAATCTTTCTCTTCAATTATCTATTTTTAAAGTAAGGAGTTGATTTGCTGTGGTGACAAATTTCCAACTTTCTTTTTGGGTGTCATTATGGAATCATGGATTTGAAAGATTCAGTATTTCAAGCAACTGTAATTTATTTATTTTGATACACAGATTGTCACAACTTTGGTAGCAGAGACCCTTCTAAACTGGGTCTCCTGTTCTTACACCCATTACCTGATTAATCTTTAAAAGCTTCTTTGCTTTCTAGTACAATATGCCCCACATTCACATCTACCTTCCCTGTACCACTCTAAGAAGCCCTGGCTCCTTTAAGCAGAGAATGATATTCAGACTCTAAAAATCTGGGCAACCAGGGTCCTCATTTGAAATGTGTGGCACATCCTTTACAATATGGGGTCTTTGGGCTACACCAACAGGGTCACTGCTTTGTACTTCAGAGGAGAAAGCCTAGAAGCCAGTGCCTCCACCAGCCTCCAACCCTCTTGGCAGCTGGGATTGCCCTGGGACAAGAAGATGTGGGAGGGAGGTGGGGCTCAACTGTCAGGGACACCTTGGGAACCCCAGGATCCCTTCCTTTCTGGTAGTGCTGTTTTGGGGGTATGGTTTTCTCTGTCCCAGTCCTCACAATCTCAGGGAGGCAGACATTCCCACTGAATTCTGGGAACAGGTTTCTCAGGAGGGCCCAGTCTGTGCTGATGCCTGGGCTGACCCCTAAATCCTTTCCTCTTGGCAGCAGAGGCGTCTGCCCAGTGCCCAGCCTTGGCCCCTCCGGCTCTCGGGCCGCACGCTGCTCTTCTTCCTCCTGTGGCCCTTCATCGTCCAGTGGCTCTTCCGACAGTTTCGGACCCAGAAGAGGTGACTGTCTGTGATGGGGATGGGGGGGCTATTCAGCCAACTGAGGAGGCTATGAGTCCCCTGTCCTGCTGTGCCCTGAGCCTTCCTAGGGTTTAGGAAAACAGCATTAACTGCGGTTTCTCCCACCACCCAGTGGTTGCCTTGGCACCCCTCCCCTAATGGGGTGTGGGATAAGACCCCACCCTTCCCTGCAGCTTCACTTGGACGCCCGCTCCCCTAACCCCAGTCTCCCTGGGAAGGCTGCAGGAGTGGTGTCAGTCCCAGGTTCTGGGTGGGCCTGTGACTCGGGGGCGGGGCTGCCCGGGCCCAGGCTCCGCGCTCTTCACCGTCGGGTCACCTGATTCTCCTTCCACCCCAGTCTCTCCCCGTGGAGGCGGTTCTGGGGCCAGCTGGGACTTGGGCCGGGGCCTGGAAGAATGATTGGCTGGGAGGCTGCGGGACGAGGCCCGGAGGCCCGGCCGAGCTGGGGGAAGGTGGGGAGGGCAGGCCCCAGAGGAGGGGAATGAGCTCGGTTTGCTGGCCTCCCTCCCCACCCCCGCCGCACACACTCAGGACGTCTTCACTGAAGATACACTTACCGATGAATGTTTCACTAAATAAAATAAAACCTTACTCCTATGCCGTTCGGGCCCCCATGGGGTAAGGGAAGCCGGATCTGGCGCGCACGGGGGACAGCTCCTTCCCTGCCCCCTCCCCAAAGGCCCGCGGACAGCCGTCGGCCGGGGAGGCCAGAGGTCTGTGTTTGGAGGTAGATTTCCCCTCCTCCCGGGGCAAGTGATGGGAACACAGCGACACACAGACTCGGGTCTGCAGGGGAGGCGGGGGCGGCGGGGAGCGGGGACACCGCGAGCGGGGTGGGGGCCCTCTGCGGCTCCGGGCGGCGAGGCGAAGAGCGCGGCTCCGTCGGGGGGCCCGGCGACTTGAGGGTGGCGGGGAGGAGAGGAACCCGGCGGGGATGGGGCGGCTGCCGCCTTGCTCCTCGCGCTGGGCGTGGCTGGGGGGTTCCCAAGACTCGGGCCACGGAAGTGCCCACGCCCACTTCCCCGTCCTCGGCAGCCCGCTCCCAATGCTCCTCCCCGAGACATCCAAGCTTGGGCTTTCACAGGGAATTTTCTGGAAGGCCGAGACCCAGCGGGAGCTTCGTCCTGCCCCGCCCTGAGGAGTGGGGGGCGGGGACCTGCGCGGGAGCCCCTGTCGGGGTGGGCAGAATCCCTGCTGGGGCAAAGACCTCCGGGAGCGCCGGTTGCTGCAGGCCGCTCGGGCTCCGAACTTACTTTTCTCAGCGCCTGGCAGCTTTGGCCCCATTCTGGTCAGCGCCAGCCCTGTCGTCCCCAGGCTGTAAGCCACGGACCCGTATTAAGCTGGGAACCCGCCGCTCTGAGTGCCTGCTAGTGTTGGTGCCTCAGAGGCCATTGGCCAGAATCCCCATCCGTGGAGGCCGCAGCAGCTTTGAGCCCCCTATAGCTGCCACCACCTGGGATCCTGGACCTTCTTACCCCCTTGGTTTGGAACAGACAGTTTTGAAGGCCCCTCCTTGGAGAACTTTAAACTCCCAAACTCCCTCCGTCAGTCCTCTCACAGCGGGGAGAGTGTCTGCTTTGGAGACACACGGGCCTTGTTACTTCGGGGTCCAGCCCAGGTTAAGCAGAGAGGCTGAATAAATCGCTGTGTTAAAAACGGACATCAGGACAGTGGGACAGGCAACAAAGTGGTGCTGGGGTTGCAGGCCTGGGGGGACACACCTCCACCACTTGCACACACTGGCTGTGACTTGGGCACATTAAGCGTTCTGAGCCTGGATTGCCTTGCTTGTGAAATAAGGATGAAGAGCTCTTCATAATAAATCAGTCCTGGTGTTTAAATGACCAAGACATATAAAATGCCTGGCAGAGGGTTAAAACTCAGCTAATATCAAGGTGCCTGGTCTCTTGTTTGGCAAAATTCTAGAATTCCACAACTTATCAGTCTGGCCACCCTATCCATGACAAATGAACCCATTCAGCTGAGCCCCGTCCAATAAACTGAGGCTGGACTCAGCTGTACCTTCAAATCCCGATTGAGAGTACACAGGAGTCCTCTACAGTCTGAAAATGTGGCAAAAGTTTACAAGTCTCTGAGTCCCAGTCAAGAAATCTGCAAAATTTTTTTACTCAGGGAGTTCTCATTGAGAGCGGCAGCTCTTAGAGGGAGCCTCCTGCAGGACTAATGAAGCACCACAGAGAAGGGCAGGCTTTTCAGATAGACCCGAGTTCTTGAAAGGCCAGGGAAAACAGGCTGGGACAGTTGATTTTAGAACATCCGTATGTGCCCCAGAGGCACTCTTGTTTGCCTCTCCCTTTAGGCATGCTGATCACCACTTCCCCCACAGAACCATTCACAAGTTCCCAGACAAGTGTCTTTGGACATGGTTCTTGCTGTTCATAGAACGCGCGCTTCATGCCACCCTCCCTGAAAATTGTGCATCCTTCAGAGACAGCCGGGATGTCACCTCCCCAAGAAACCTGTCCACAATTCTTAACTCCTAAGCATGTTGGCTCACAAGCTCCTGCAGAGATTTTCTTCTCCTGCCATTTTGGCTCCCTGTGGCTGATGGTCTCTCCACACAATCCATGAACAGCAGAGATAACATTCTATTCATAATGTGCCCTTCTAACAGATGTTTGTTAGATGAAGAAATAAATAAGTGCCTTTTATTAGGTTGAAGCAGTAGGCAATGAAGAGAAACTAAGTCCAGAGTTCTTGAGAAAAAAGGTAATTTTGTGTTTGACAGAAAGAAAAATGGCACGGGGACACAAACACCTTTGCTTCATGCCACTTTGTTGTATTGTTGTATGACCTTGGACAAGTCGTTTCACTTGAGTCTTACAGATTTCTTATCTCTAATAGGGAGTCAATAATTCTACCCAGCTTAACTCACTGGGCTGTGGTGGGGATCAATGGTTCTCTGTGTTAAAAACGTTACACGGTGCAAAACAGTTGGAATGTAAGACACTGCTAATAAGGAAGAAAGGAGGATGGGTCATTGGGTGTGTGGCAAGGAGAAACTGAGATTACACTCAGGTTTTAGGCCCAAGTGATTCGAGCAGAGGGTTTGGGCTATTTCCAGGGCCCTGAGCTGTGGGCAGGAGCTTGGAATACGGGTGATTTTCTCAAGAATATATCGCGCCTTCTTTCCCCATTTATCTACACCACAGTACCGGGCCAAATGCCCCTGCCTCCATTTCTGAGAAAGGCCTCCTCCTCCTCGGGGAAGCCTCTGGCTGTTTCCCTCCCGATGTTGCCCAGAGCCTATCGATAAGGAAGAACCCCTGCTGATGACACCCCCTTCTCTCTTGGCCAGTTAGTGTTGATTATTTAAACTGGTTAATTTCGAACCCTTTCCCAAGCAGAAGGCTCATCAGCTGGCCCAGACTCCCCTGTCCCTTTCTCAGAAAACGTTCCCGGTCAGCTCAGTGGGCTCGAAGCAAAGAAACCAAGTTGACCCCAGGAGGCCATTTTCTTCCAACAGAAGCCGAGGCTCCGGGGCGAGGCTTTCCTGCCCCGGGTCTCGGGGGAACCCTGGGCTCACACCCGACGCTTCCCGGATCCCGGTCCAGGTGAGGGGCTCGGGCAATGCCCACCATTTTGCAGGGTCCTTGGCGCAGCGGCCACCCTGGAAGATTAGTCTGGGGGTGGGAGTCGCCCTCGGGTCCCAAGGCCAGTCCGAGGGTGGACGTCACCCGGGACTCGAACCTGCCTTCTCATCTTCTGAGGCCTAGTGCGAAGTTGCTGCGCTAGAGCAGTCACACTTTCCCTTTAAGGCGGGACTTTTTATCCTTCATTTGTTTACTTCTTCATGCGCTGTTCTTTTTTTATGAAATATTTTTATAATATTCTCCGCAAATGTCAGTCCCAGGCACTAACCACACAACTTAAAACCATTACTAAAATCTTAAGAATCAAAAGTTATTAGCTGTGGGCCAACATCTCTCTTTATACGATTTAATCCTTTTTTTACACGTTAGGGACTACTTTTTAGGAATAAACCATTTTCGCTTTCGTTAACAAATGTTTATTATCTTCAGAACCCTTACGCTAAGGACAGGTATACGATAATAGCCTTTAAAACGCACCGTTTCATAAAACTGTTCCGTGTGAACCCGTAGAGACCATAGAATCTTCTCGTATTCCTGAAGCAGAATGGTACGGTCCAGAACCCGCCCCATCTTCTCTGCGATTGGTCTTTCTTCCTCGGCAAGGCGTCTGCCTCTTGACCAATGGTCACTCAAATTTCTTTAGTAAGGGATAAGCCATGGAAGGAGGTGTCCTGAAAGACGCTCCCTACACGTTCTGGGATTGGCTACGTCGCACGGCGCGCGAGGACAGCGGGCCTGAAAGATAGGAACTACGACTCCCATCTTCCGGCGATAGGGACTCCGTTACGCATGCGCGTAGGCGGGGCGAACAGGCCTCTATATAAAAGGGGCGCAGAGGGCTGGGAGGCAGCAGTTGGAAGTTGGCAGGTGGAGTGGAAGGTTGGGAGGGGAAGTTGGGGGAGGAGGCGGAAGAGGAGCTGTAGGAAGGGGGAGGGAGGAAGGGAGGGAGGAAAAGAGGAGGCGGAGAACTGAGGAGAGCAGAGCTTCGAGCCAAAGGGGAGATGAGTTTGTCTGTCCTCGGCTGAGGCTCCGGCCGGGCCTAGGGAACTGGGAGTTCGGGTTGGAGCGACACCCGTGGAAGTGGGAGGAGGTGACTCTGGGACTTTAACCCCTTGTGGGCTCTGCGGCAGGGGATTTAACCCTTTGTGGATGCGGCCCCTCGGAGGCAGCGTCATCTGGTAGTTTTAACCCCTTCGGGGCTGGGTTTAACCCGTTGGACTTAAATCTCATCGCTTTGCCCACCAACTCCTCGGACGTGGGGGCGCTTCTCCGCCCATTACTGCTGCTGCATCCCCTTGGACCCGCTAAGCTGCCCGCATTGTGGGGGCTTAACCCTTTAGTGACTTGGGTTCCCCGAAATTGCAATTGGAGTTTCCTGACAGGATTGGCGAAAGGCATCGCTGCAAGAATTACAGACCGAAGAGGACTCTATTGGAGAACATTTTTTTTCTTTAAAGAAAAACCTCTCTTTTTCCTTAAGGACTTACAGCCCACAATTTTCAAACTTCGAGAAGAGGACTGTATCAACATGGCCGAGCCACTTCTGTCAGAATATCAGCATAAGCCTCAAACTAGCAACTGTACAGGTGCTGATGCTGTCCACGAAGAACGGAACCCGGATCGCCCCCCAGGAGCGGAGGAACGTGTGCCCGAGGAGGACAGTAGGTGGCAACCGAGAGCGTCCCCCCGATCGGGTGGCGGTCGGGAGCAGGAGGGGGAAGGGACCCTGGAGCGCCAGCCACCACCTCTGCAGACCCAGGTCTGTCCAGAACCTAGTTGTCCGGAAGTGGGTGAGAAGGGCCAGAATGGGGATGACCTGTCCGCTGGTGGAACTCCCCCACCGGCAGCCGGCGGGGAACCGAGGCCCGAGGCCGAGGCGCTCACCCAGCCGTGTCTTGACTCTGAGGCCAACAAGTTGGGGGCTCCTGCCGCAATGGGCGAAGAGGAGTGGGGGCAGCAGCA